GGAGGCTGAGGGGAGACCTCATCGCTCTCTACAACTACCTGAAAGCAGGTTGTAGCGAGGTGGGTGTCGGTCTCTTCTCCCAAGTAACAAGCGATAGGATGAGAGGAAATGGCCTCAAGTTGCGCCAGGGGAGGTTTAGATTGGATATTAGGAAAAATTTCTTCACTGAAGGGGTTGTCAAGCATTGGAACAGGCTGCCCAGGGAAGTGGTTGAGTCACCATCCCTGAAGGTGTTTAAAAGACGTGTAGATGTGGTGCTTAGGGACGTGGTTTAGTGGTGGACTTGGCAGAGCTAGGTTAACGGTTGGACTTGATGACCTTAAAGGTCTTTTCCAACCTAAACGATTCTATGATTCTGTTCTATGATTTTGAAGGTATTTCAACTGTCATGAGAAAGTAAAAATTTGCTAATTTAAGTCATGGCATTTGAGATGCATGTAAGTCAGCTTATCAGTAAGAGTGTTTACTGGCTGCACAGCGTATACTTGGATTGCAGACTCTTGAACCATGTCAGTGCTAAGAACCTAGAAGTAGAGACATATGTTGTAGTAGCAGGACAGTATTAGAAGTAGGTAGTTTCATTAAGAAACATGAGACAACAGCTCTTGATAAATCAACTTGGTTCATATATGTACTTTCTGAAGCCCCAATGAAGAAAATAATATTTCATTTCAGAATAATGAAATTTCTAACAAGATATACTTTTCATGGGTAATACCAGAAATTAAAATTTAAATTATTCCTTAAAACTAATGATCGAATCAAACAATTCAGTATGTTTTTTCCACTGTTGCTTTCCCCTTTGGGCTCAGTATTTTTTTTAAATCTTGATACAAATACCAGATGTGAACACTTCATATCATCAACAGTCTTTCACAGATTTTTTTTTTCTTTTACTGTATCTATTCATAGGTTGGTGTATGATGAACTACAAGCTACATATTTTAAACAGCTTTTTTTTACCTTACACATTTTAATAGCAAGAAAATGATAAAAAATACCCTACAATTAGTAAAATGAAATAAAGTATTAAATACACAGTCCAATTTCAGCAATTATTTCAGTAGCTTATTTCAACAAATACACTGAATATTAAAACACATTTCAATAAGTATGTATATTCAATGACTATATCTTTCAGTGTTTTAATTATTCACTCAGCTGCAGACTTGTAATCTAAAAAATCCACTCCTGGCATTCCAAAGCAATGAAGTTATGGACTGAAACTTACATTAACCAAACCAAAATAGTGCTCATTGACTGGAAATTGTTCCGGACCAATCTCTTTCTCCAAAGCTGAGGCATTGGCGCCCTAGAAAAAACAAAAGCAGTAAAATATTAGTGTTGCAACTATGTACACAGTGAATTTAACTAGTTCAGAAAAAAAAGTGAAGTTTTTTGGCAAGGATAAATGACCAAAAACAACCAACTGACCAAAAAAACCCCAAAAAAACCCTGGTCACAACTATAGACCTTGCTAACACCAAACCAGTATCTTCAGATCTCAGACTAAAACTTTGGATTTATTAAACTTACTTACACTGAAGCTCTCTCTAGTCAGGAGGGAAGAAAACAAAAATAAATGAGAGACTGAATATTGAAAATGCATGAAACACCTTCCTGTCTGTACCCTGGAAGGGGGGGAGAAAGTGGAGTTTGTGACCCAGCTCAACAATCACACATGGCAAATTAACCAAACTTGTTTAGTTAGTCTATTCCTTAATGCACAGACAAGCTCGTAGGCAGGATAATATTAGCCATGAATGCAGAAAAATCAGTCCTTTGAATTCTCTGTTGATTTGCACACTGAGGATGTTTAGATTGTCCACAAAACCATTTCACATAGGTCTCAAAGCAGACAGCAAGTCTTCTGTGCCATAACTTAATACTTACATACTTATAATAAAGAACCTAACACTCTTCCACCACAAGAAAATTATTTCAACATAATCCAAAATACCTTAGAGATGTTTCCAAATATGTTCTGTTCAAAAACATCTCAATGTAAGTCATATAATTTTCATGTATTTTCATGCAATTACACTGTTTTGATGTTCTGTATTTATTATTTTCAGTGAAGCTTCTTTAATAACAATTGCATTAATATAGTATTGCAAAACAGGTGATACAAGGCCAAATGGTGAGCTCCGCTTAACAAGTGCAATTTTCATACCGTGTAGCACATTTCAGAAAAAGTTAAGAAATGCAGATTATTCATAGGAAGCAGAGAGACTGGTCTGTTCCACTTACACTGAAAATATAAAATGTTCAAAGTGCGTTGCTAAATACCTTGAACTTTGTAAAATTAAAAGACAACACAGTACAGCTAGTGTTGCTATGCATTACAAATGCTGCAGCCTTTGCCCAACGAATCCGTTGGGTCTGATCCTTAAAAAGAAGTCCGAGAAGGTAACTTTGATTACTCTGTGGTTCCAACCGATGACTGTTGACTGAACTGGTGCAATAAACGTTAGGTTTCAAAGGGAAGAGAGTTGTTTTATTTAGAGACAGCAAAACCTCTAATCTCGAAAATTCAGTGAACAAAAAAACCTAGCTCTCTATGAGCTCTTACACTGGTTGCTTTTAGAGAAAAGCAAATGTATCCAATTCTAAATCCCTTCTGTTGCATACAACAACATTGATAGAGAGAGAGAGAGAGATCTTCTCTATCAAACTAACACATGAGCATGAGTATTCCAGTCTAAAGTCAGGCCTAAGTGAAGCTAAAATAGCACACAGTATACAGCAAAGAATCTTAAAAACAGATGCGACTCCTTCCCAACAAGTTCTTTCTTTACACCAAAAATGTAGCAAATAGCCCTGGACATTACAACAATAAAACTAAATCAAAATCACAAACTGCATTAAAAACAGCACGCGGGATTTCAGAGATCAATTACAGATAAGGGAAGGGGGACAGAATTAAAATTAGGATTGTATCAAAATGTATAAAATTAAAATGAAACTCTATTATGTGGTATCTGCCATGATGTGATTGCGGTACTGCAGAACTTAAGAGTGGTTACACAATCTAGCTTAGTAGTTCTGAAACTGGAAACACATGGTCAAAGGCCCATTAGGAGGTAACAACTTTAACTAGAATAGAGCAAAAGATAGCATAACTCCACACTTGAGACAGTACAGTTCTGCTCCATTCACACCACGGCCCCAGCTGCTTTTTCATCAGTCATATCCCCTGCAATTATGATAAAAGCCTCTCCTTTACTGGTGATTTGGCTGCAGGGCTTACTACTTTAAAAGCTGTTCTCTAATGGCGATGTTGGTGGTAAGGAAAAGGGGTATAAACCCTCATTTAAGATTAAAGCACTCCACGACTTCTGAATATTTAGTTTTGCAACCTTATTGAAATACACCCACGAGCTCTGGCAAGGTCGATATTATTTACAAATAAACTAGAAAAAAAAGGAACTGTGGAAGCCTTTTTATCCTATTGTTAAAATCTCTACTTATTTAAAAATAAATAAATTCAAGAGCAGGCTTTTAGGAAATTCCTTCTCTTTTCAAAGCTAGGGTGGAGTAGCTGCTTTATACTATCTTTAGAAGGAAGAATATTATGGTATAAACTTTGATGTTTCTGTTTTGTACAGACCTGAACACCGCATTTAGTTTTCTAGCACAATAAAGATCCTGACTTGGCAATTAGAAAGACATGCTAAGATACTCCAGTATAGTTATGGTTTTCTGATTATTCAAGGCTGTTTCATTCAAGGCTTAGACTTTCACATGATTTCAAAGCACTGCATTACTATGTTTGAATGCAGTTGTTTATGAATGGTTTATTACTACGAACCAGCATGGATGTTTTACACCAATATAAAATCCCTCAAGCTACTTAGACTCCCTCTTTTTGTCTATCATAAAGGATGTTATTCCTCCCCCCAAAGTAATCATTTATACTGTGCACAGTGTGTTGGTTGCAGAAAGCGAACACATAGCATGCGGCAGGAGCTTGAAAGAGTATGCTACATGCACGTTCACACCTGACCCGTAAAAGCCATTTTAAAACCTAACTATCCCTTGCTACAAAAGGTTTCCCATTCAGCATTACAGCACACATTATCAGTCCCAGTTGACTCTTCCATTATGCAAATACAGATGCAGAGGTGAAGCACTGCGACACCACCAACTCTTATGGTAACATACCATCTTTTGGACAAGAGGACAGCAGAGGTTTAAGGCAGAAGCGGAGTCTATATCTTTCCATCAGCCAAGATGGACTTACTGGACTTGGGATCTAGAAATGGGAGATTTCAGTCTGTGATGTATGCTGCAGAGTATAGAATTTCTTCCTCTGCCACTTAACTGGGATGTGGGAAGATCCCAAAATGAACCTCTCTTTTCTGGGGCTCATTGAACAACCCATACAACAGGTGCTCAGGCCCCACACAGCGATGTGGCTTTGACATTGTGCAGGGGACAGAAAGGAACATCACCAACTTCGGTCAGTACCCTCCCCTCCAGTTTCCCTACCCTTCTGAGCGGAAGCACACAAGGTCATTACCCAGAAGTGGGAAGGAACAGAGGCACAACAGAAGTCCAAAAAAGCTAATACTGCAATAGCACTGTCATTTACCAGTTTTTGCATCATATTAGTACAAAACCTATATATATCGCCAAACACTGCCTTACAGTACCCCCCTTCCAGCACAGAGATAATTATAGGGGCATACAGAACACATATTTGTCATAGTTAACACAATATAGCTTTATAAAGTGGAAAGTTCAGCAACTAAGGTGTGTATACAAGAACACAATATGAAATCAAGATTTGCTTAACTTTTATTTGTTATATATATGAAAATAATGGAATACATATATGAAAATTATCCTGGAAACAATGTTAAAATATCAATGATTATAAAAGAGTGTTCTCACACATAATGAAAATTAGGTGTAAAACTAAACTACTGTACACTTCATCCTGTGTTTAACTTCAAACTGATACGAGATAATTCATGAATAATCTTAGTTTAACCATGTTCAAATCAGTTGAACGTTTATTGCTTATCTCCCCCACCAAGCTAAAGAAAAAGGCTACGTTATTGGATTTATTAGAGATCCCCTTAGATGCTAATTTCTTAATGAAGGGATAAGAATCTGTGTTTACCATGGAAGGCCCTTAATTAAGTTTCTCAACTCTTATTTTCAAAAGAGCTCAAGGTTTCTATAAATTAACACCTTTAACTTTAACCAAATGAGTGTTTTATTTCAGTTTAGTGGAATCAAAGCCCAGAAAACACAGTGGGAGAGGAAAGTGTAGTAACTTTTAATTAAGTACAGTTGAATTTTCCTGATTTTCAAGTTTTACAGAGATACGTTCTCACAACATTCTAAAATACACTAAAAAAAAACCCCTGACATTGTACATTTCAATGGAAAAGAGGAACAAGATATAAAGTGCAGACATATGATGGCGTTTTTTGTTCATTTGTTTAGTTTTTTACTTGCTAAAGCAGTAATATTGTTAGATGCCATTTCCGCTTTTATTACTGCCTTTTCTCACTGCCTCAGAGGTCACACTATTGTGGTGCTACATGTCGAACTAGCACTCCTGAGACGCACTAACAGCTAACATATGGATAAGCTAATTGGAGCCAGTCTGTAAAGCAAATCAGTTGGTGCTTATGATCTGTCACACACACTCTGGGTTTCAGAGGGTTTTTGCCAGATTAGTTCTAGGCTGGCTCTGTGACTGAACACCCAGCTGCACCTGAACTATGTTGCTTGATTTAGTTTCCTCCAAAAGGAATCTAATTTGTGCACTCTAAGACCACCCCAAGATGCAAACCAAAGTACAGTAAATTGGGATGCCTGGGAGAATCACTTCAGAACTGCACACACCTTACCTGAACTAAAACACTAATAAAAATGCACCCAGCACTTGTCTAAAGAAAAAACAAAAAAGCCACCCTGTACTAAAAATACTGTCTAAAAACATGTCAGCAAGCAGGCAAACAATTGCAGTTTTAAAGTGTCCTACCTTGTTGTTATTGTCCAACCTAGTAGGCAGCATTCCTCATACAAAGACTTCATTAATAACCAGCCTAATGTGCTTTGAAGATTGATTACACTGGTGTTAGTCTTACTGGGGTGGGATGGGGGGGTTGATCTATCCCTTTCTAGAATAAATATCAGCTCATAACTTGGTGGGTCATCTTTTCAGTAGTTTGCTGTAACAGCTTTATCCTCTAGCTTTACTGAGTTGTAAATTTCCTAAGTAAAACCAAAAATTTCACCTTTAAAAGAAATTTCTTATCTCAAAACTTACATTTGTTGTCAAAATTCTGAAGATCCATTTCTCCCTTCACTCATGCACATCTATGCTAGATCCTTCCCTACAACGCTCTCCACCTCTCTCAACAAGCAAGGAACAATAAAGATAAAAGGTGACTCACATAACTAAACCATGTTACATAGGTATATGTAAGCCCAATTTTTTAAACATGACCTTAGCTATAGTTAAGTGAACAAAAACACCACCACCCACAAAACAGAACTTTTATTCTTCCTAGTGACAGAAAGGCATTACAAGCAAAAGGAAAACTCAGTAACCAGGAATAGCAATGTCTTCCTGAACAAGAATAAAACATTACAAGTGTGAAATTTATTTATTTATAATTAGCAAAAATAAATCTCAGTATAGAAGCACTCATTTACTAGTGCTTTCACTTTTTTTTTTGCCATGTATTAGAAGACTCTTCCTTGTCTGTGCTGCTAGTGAAGGTATACAGAATTTCATAGCCTACACTAATTAATGCACTGTGACTGATGGCATCTTCTGTTAAAGACGACATACATAATCCTACTCTTCCAGTTATGTTTTATCAGAATATGTGAATCCACACTTTCCCATGTATTTGTATGAATCAGGATTAAGAGCAAACAGAATAGCTATATTAAATCCATTGATACCTGTTGTTTCTACCGCAACCAAAATGGAAACGCATTTGTTTTGATACAGTTTCTAGCCCAGGAAGCAGAAGTGAAATATGCTGACTGGGATTCAATAATCCTCGTTGTTCATTTATTTGCAAAAGAACATGCGTTAGTAATACACAACTTGATAATCTAACTATGAAATATTTGGTTCACATTTTTAAAATACTTACAAATAGTGTTATTTTCTTAAGTAACTAGTTCAAGACATAGTCCTGTATATTCTAA